AATTTCACATTCTTTGTCAAACCATTTAGGTTGTGTCTGTTCGTGCTTTGGTCTGTGGGTCTTGCGTGTATGGGAGTGTTGGGTATCAGTTAGAGAAAAACAGTGTCTGAAAAGGTCAAGCAAGCAGGTTACGGTTTTATTAATGTCCTTATGGATATTGTTATCAAAGTTCTGTGTGAAAGTGTCAATGGAACTGCACATAATATCCACAAACTCACCGAGCTGCTCCGGTCTCCACGCGTACCTGTCGAATGCATGTGACTGAGTGTGAGTGTGTGCTGCACGTGCGGGACCAGCTGGCGGGTCACGTGACAACAACAGGCTTACTGTAATCGGGAGGTGGTCAGACTCTGTTCTTGTGATTATTTCAAAATCTTTATAATAATCATATAAATCTAGAAGCTATACAAACTTGTCAACTCTCTCAATATTGATAATGGGGAAGAAATGATAGAGGAACAAAACGGTTTTACGAAAACCTATATAAATCAAATTATGATATAGAAGAAGATAGTAAAGCTGTATTCGAAAATATTGCCGCTCCTTCTTTAGGTAAAAAGCTGTCAAATGAACTAGAGCGTGACATTAGTCTTGAAGAGCTTTTCTATGCTGTTAAATCAATGAAAAATAACAAAAGTCCAGGTCTAGGTGGTTTCCTCTATCGAATTCTTTAATTTTTTTCTGGAAAAAATCTCAACATTTGGATTCACCGATATACATAGGAAACTTTCAACAAGGATTCTATGACCACGACGATGAACAGAGGAGTATCTCTACACCAGGTAAAGAGAGAAGAAGTTTACAAATGGCGACCCGTTTCTAAAAGTTTGGTTTGGTAGTAACATTAAAATCAGGTTAATATATTTCTAATGCAGCCTCGTGTATGATGCAGAATGGTCACTTGTCAACGTTTTCGACAATGAAAGAGGATGTAGACAGGATGATCCCGTCTCTCCGTATGTATTGTTATTGGTAGCAGAAATACTAGGCATAATGATCAGATAAAACCACAGAATAAAGGAATTGTGTCAAACGACATCGAGCATGTTATTGGTCACTATGCAGACGACACTGACTTATTCCTGGACGGTTCTGAAGCCTCTCTTAACGAAGCTATGAAAACTTTGCACTCCTTTTACAAGATGTCAGGTGTGAAAATAAATATTGACAAAATAAAAAAGCAGTATGGCTGGGTTCAATGGCAGGTAGTAAAATAGTTTTATTCCATGATTATAAGCTGGATTGACATAATGAGAATTTCGACGTATTGGGAATCAAATTAAAAGCTCATTTAGAAAACTTATGGGTAATCAATACAAAAAGAAAGACTCGAAAATATAAAAGAATTCTACTGAATTGGAAAAGACGTAATTTAACGTTGATAGGAAAATAACAGTCGTAAAAGTTTAGCTTTATCCACGACTGTCCACATCCTCTCATCTTTCCTAATCCCCAGAAAACATTTATTACTTATTTGAACAGATTATTCTTCAAATACATATGGAATGATAAACTTGACAAAATAAAACAAATTAATTTAGTGAGAATGTACGAAGTAGGTGGTCTAAGTATGGTCTATGTGAAAACCTTTTATCGACTATGTTTCAACATTTAATAATTATGATCTTGCCGATTTCCTTTTGCAAAGCATTGTTCTCATAGGAGCCAACATTATAAAACACTAAAATTACAAGTCCATTCTGGAAAGACTCTCTTGATGCCTGGCAAATGTTAAAAGATATGTGTAAATAACAATACTCATGAAATACTCATGCAACCACTATGGCTAAAACACCAGTGTAACCAACCAAGCTTGATCGTTCATAGCTGGATTAGACATTGAGTAGTTTATATTAAGGTTATTTGTAGGGGTGGGTATTGCAGGGAATTTTCATATTGCGATATATTGCGATGCAAACGCATGTTTTGCGATATGTATTGCAATATATTGCGTGAAGTGAAAACTACTTATAATTGAGGTAATGCTTGATTTATAGAGCAAATACACAGCAAAATCACTATGCTTGATTAAGCTTTTTTACAACTTTTATTCATGATTAAAATAAAAAAGTATGAATAATATTTGGCACAAATGAAAAAAGGAAATATCCGAAGATTTCCGAGTGTTACGAAGTTTTCCGAATGCAAGTCAAAATACCGGTTTTCGATCAGCGTATCGCAATACGTATCGTCTTCATGTCTGAACCGGTAAATACCGGTAAACCGGTTATATTGCGCAGCCCTAGTTATTTGTAATGACCTCGATTTTCTATCATATGCGGAACTTAAAGGAACATTAGACATTAAGGGTTCTGTGCTTGATCTTAATCGTGTTCTCCTTAGTATACCCAAACAGTAGAAAGATGTTATACGAACAACAAACAATTCTAATATACCGACCTTATCCTTGGAACGATTCGATTAAACATAGTAAAGGCTCAGGGATATTCTATGATAATTTCATATCGGATTATAACCTTCCGAATTTGTGTCTCAAATGGAACGGGGAACTAAATGATTTGGTAAATTTGAAAACCAAATTTTCACAATAGAGACCATTACTAAAGACACGAAACTCTAAGATTTTTAATATAAGTTTTTCACAGAGACATTTAAGAACGAGAACCACAAAAAGTGAAATTAATAGATAATGACCTGTGTACATTATGTGGTTCAGCAAGTGAAGATATTTATCATGTATATCTTGATTGTCCAATCATCAAAATGTTGTTACTCAAGTCCTTGGTAAACGTATGGAATGTCAAATCATGACATTTTATTCTGTTGGAGTGGTAATCATTTATTCAACCACATGATATTATTGGCAAAGCGCCTAATTTTCGTAATGAATATGAAAGGACAAAAACCTGGCTTTACAATCTACAAAACATTATCAAAGGACGTTTATGAAATTGAGAAATAAATCGATAAAAACGGGAATATGAAACATTTTTACAGAAAATGGAATGTTCTAGATGCATTCCTTTACTTTAGATTTTAGCCTTTCACATTCTCCGTATAACTATGTAGCATTTCAGTTGTTTAATCTATAATCCTAATACAGTAAATATTATACTGTCTACGTTTTCATATGTAATTTGTAATAGTTTGGTTTCTACCCATATATCATGTTCAACTGTAACCAAGTACAGTGAATAAAAACTTCAAACATAAGTCAGCGAGCCCCACCACCGATCCTGCTCGTCGCCTTTTACGACAAGCATGGGATGCTGAAGACTAATTCTAAGAATCTAGATCTTCACGGGTTATCCAACTGTCGAAAAGCGTGTTGTTGAACTTTTTAAACACCATGGGAAAAGTTCCCGATGCATATCTTGAATATATCTGCATATCTGTCATCGTGAAACAGAGTTCCTCTTTAAGTTACCCAATCTTTTGTACCAGGGTATTTCAGTAATTAAGAATACAACTTTATGAATGACAATTTCTTGTTTATTGCATAGAGCGACGTTTTAGGTTTTGCTTTTAATTTATAACGGTGTAAGATTCTATACCGAAACGTTGCTCTATGCAATAAACAAGAAGTTGTCATCCATAAAGTTGTGACCCATCAACTTCTATAATACCAATATAAAAATCAGAGTATTTAAATCCATATTAGTTTGATGAATTGTGGATATCACGAAAACTCGATTATATACAGACCGCAGCCATGTACCTGGAATATTGCTGAATGCGGCGATAAACAGCAAACAACCCATCCAACCATACTGCAAATAATCATTATAAAAATACACAAACAATGCTGGAAACAAACAATCTCGATGCCTTCAAGCTGAGACCATCTCTCTCTCTCTCTCTCTCTCTCTCTCTCTCTCTCTCTCTCTCTCTCTCTCTCTCTCTCTCTCTCTCTCTCTCTCTCTCTCTCTCTCTCTCTCTCTCTCTCTCTCTCTCTCTCTCTCTCTCTCTCTCTCTCTCTCACACACACTCTCTCTCTCTCTCACACACACACACAAAATTGCATTTATAGATCTTGATCTGTTATCTGTTTGGTTGGATAACTGCAGAATCAGCCTGTAGAGAGCGAACGTGTGTTGTTGCCTTATAAATAATTTAAGGCAATGGGAATGTGCTTTTGAGGGGAGGAGGAGGAGGGAGGTGCACGCCTCCGTATATTGGTAATACATAAAATGTTGAATGAGCACAATTTATTGTTTTCTGCTAAATGTGATGACTGTGTAAAAGAATCTAAATGTTTTAGATTTTATGGCAGAATATGTCTGAATGTTTCAAAAGAACATTGGATTTATATTTCATACAGAGAACGTGGATATATATTTCATATAGAAAAACGAGACAGTAATAGGAATGGTAATAATATTTGCATACATTTAAATCAGATTATTACACTGATATTGTGTGAGTTCTTAACTTACTAGACGCGAGCGGCGCATGGTGACATGTGGAGTGAGTGTGAGTGTATGGCGGCGGTCTGTAAAAATAATGGAGTGACATGTGAATGACTCCACGTGTTTAAACTGGAGGATTTGAGAACACTCCAGCCCATCTTCGTTTTTTTTGTAATTGTAAAGTAGAAATGAAATGAAATCTCTTTTTCTTGTTTTCTGTCAGGGATGATTGTGTTAATTTTGCTACAACAGATAGAAAGTTTTATTATACAATCTGAAGTTGGAAAATGTATTTGATAAATATGTTATCTCAATTAGCCTTATATGTTGCCATAACCCTACTTACTATTTTTTTAGAATACAGGGTCCCAATCCACAAAGCATTCGTAACGTTACGACTCTACAGTTTACCATAGGCTTACGAAGGATGTAGCGCAACGAATGCTTTGTGAATCGGGATCCAAACTTCCACATGAATGGAAATATTTTCACATTTTCACATTTCCAGTGTTATATGTGATTCAGGTGGTTTTATCCTCTCCCTCTTTGTGTCATTTAAGAATTAAACTTGACTTCCCAAAGCGAGATGATTTGTTGTATACATGCCTTTGCTTATCTATGTATTTTCAGTTCTAATCCCGCTTTTCATTTGCCTATTGATTGGACAAACTATTCTGTCAGTGACCCGTCAAATTCGATACAGCCGATGTAAGTATTCCTCAATGTGTATGGATGATTACACTTTTTTGCACATCTTCTTTAGTCGATTGTCAACCAGTGGAATGACGCATTTTGTTCAGCGTGCCACTCATACGTGAATACATGCCTGTTTCTGGGTACAGCGTGTTCCCCCATCACCTGTCAATGCAAAACGTTATACAGTGTTAGCGCTATTTTTTTAACGGACAAATCATACATCGGCTTAGTTCCAGCAAGAGGCATTCGTGACCAACTCGTGTTATTCCGGGACAAGGCCGGATTAAAGGTTACGGAAGGGGCGAGTGGTGACGAATGACAGTTTCCCTCTTGCTCATTCGTCACCACTCGCCCCTTTCCGTAACCTCCAAGAAGAGTCGTAGTCCAGTCGATACTTGTTATGTGCGAAAATACGACAAACCAATCAGAACGCGCGTAAATCAGCGCGGTGCTTTGATAAAAATAATCCCGAATACTTAAATCGTTTATAGCATTATGTCCTTGTTTAAAAAATCATGAAAAATATATATTGTCATATTGACGATTTTGCTGCCTATTCTGAAGTTTTTAATAAGAATCATGCGAGTGACGGTGAAAGATTCAAATACACGCACGTGCGTTTGTTGACATAACTGCTCTCATAGGTCCAACTGAGTGTATTTCTGACGATCTTGCGGGCTTGTTATGGAGATTGTACGTGCGCTTCGACCAATTTTAGGAAATGTAATTATAATCGCTACCAGTTTCAAAACAATAATATCGTATTTGTATGTAACTAATCAACCTTAATCTTTAACATTGGGCTTATATTTCATATCTCTGGGGATATTTTAGTCTGACTGTTTTGGTCATTCATATTTATTTTCAGCGAATTCATTTAAAAATTCCACCAGGGGTGTGACAGCAAGGTTACACGAATGTTCAGTTTGAGAAATATTTTAAAGACATTTTGAGTATCTGCTTTGGGATTTAATGTAGCTGATTTTTGTTTATTTTATTTGTATGTTCAATAAAACAATTCCCATTTGTGATGATTAAATCCTATTAAGAACCCTATTAATTAACATAATTGGAAATATAAGGTAAACACCTGGTAATAATTACATTTTAAAATATGTCTTTCACAAATATGTTTTTTCCTTCTTTAGTTGTATCAAAGAGGTTTAATTCTTTAAAAATAAATAAGTGAAAAAACCCAAAACAACAACCTAGCAATACAATGTACATGTGCTCCGGTGATTTTAGAAACATTGGAATCAAACAGGGATAGATTTATCGTTCTTGTTTAAAGTAGTTCAGATGCTCATGCACCAATATGAAATCCTTCCAGAGCGGCACGAGTCGCTATTCGGCTCGTCACGGAATAACACGAGTTGGTCACGAATGGGAAACTCTAAGGGCTCTGTCCAATGAGCGCTCACGTTACATTGCACGATCTGCAGTATGTCCTATCATCAGGTTATTAGTAGGGGTGGGTATTGTAGGGAGTTTTCATATTGGAATATATTGCCATGTGAAAGCATATGTTGCGATATGTATTGCAATATATTGCAAGAAGTTAGCATCGGGGTTAAGGCGTTCGCTCGTCACGCCGAAGACCGGGGCTCGATAGGCCTATTATTGTGTGAAGCCCATTTCTGGTATACCCAAGAGTCTGTGCCAAGGGGTCACACCAGGATTGAAATCACCCAACCGTAAAATGGTGATAGATAAAGAGGACCTGAAGTTTAAAAACTTGTCTAAGTCAGTTAGGTACAAGTCTTCAGAATATGGCCCCTGGATTCATATTGTTGGGAATTATGTCTATGTGGTTATTAAGTTGGAACCGTTAATAACATTAGGAAGATAGTCACAACTACTTTGAAAATGTGTCCCACGATTGCTTCTAGATACAAACGTAATTCCCCATTTTCAGTGAAAACACCGAAATTCAGTGATCGACGAGTCGTTTATTAATGTAGACAGGAAAACTCCCCTGGTTGTCCCCACTGTCATATTGCTAAAAGCGGCTTCAAACTAAACTCACCCTCTCACACAAAAAATGGAGGAATGTATCCGGTATTCTGTTGTCTTTCTCACATATGTTATTTCTACAGCAAAATTATGTATTAAAATGAAGGTATTTTAAACCATGAAGGGCATGTTTTGACGATGGCGAACAACACTTCACATATGCTACCATGCCTTTGTTACTTCTCTGTGATATTATTTAGGTGTTTGTAAACATAGGGTAGTCTGCCGTTAACATATTCTTGTGAAATAACATGTCGTGGAGTGACCTGCAAAGTTGAAAATGTGAAAAAGTTTTGAATATATCAGGGTTTTTCTTATGTGATTTCATGATCTCGCTCTGAAAGTCTTGATGTCATTTATGTAGACTGAAGTTAGTAGTTGTTCTCAAGGAAATATCGATTGAATATTTGGGGAAAAGCCGCCTTCCATCATTCTGTTGACCCACAGTGAGTGAGTGAGTGAGTTCAGTTTACGCCGCGCTCAGCAATATTCCAGCTTTATGGCGGCAGTATGTAAATAATCGAGTCTGGTCCAGACAATCCAGTGATCAACAGCATGAGCATCGATCTGCGCAATTGGGAACCGATGACGTAATGTCAACAAAGTCAAAGAGCCTGACAACCCGATCCCGTTAGTCGCCTCTTACGACAAGCATGGGTTACTGAAGATCAATTCTAACCCGGACCTTCACGGGTACCTTAGTTGGGTGAATGAGTGAGTATTCCAATTAAATCAGCGTCAGAGGTGTTGATCCAGGCAATCCAGTGATGGACATCATGAGCATCGATCTACTCCAATTCGGATACGATGGCACCCATGTTTATCATGAGAGGCGAGAATCGGGATCGTGTGGTCAGGTTCGCTGACCTGGTTGATGCATGTCATCGTATCCAAATAGCATAGATCGATGCTCATGATGTCAGTTACTGGATTTTTTTCTTGTCCAGGTGTGATTACGGACTGGCCGACATCATATAGGTTAAATAAAGCTGAGTGTAGCTTAAAAACAACAAAAGAACATACAGATACATCAACCGTCAAATAATCAAACAGACGACTGACTGACTGAATGAATATGGTTTTAAGCCGTTTTCGGCAATATTCCAGCAATATCACGGCGGGGGACACCAGAAATGGGCTTCACAAAATGTACCGATGTGGGGAATCGAACCCGGGGCTTCGGCGTGACGAGCAAACGCATTAACCACTAGGGCTACCCCAACGCCCCTCAAACAAACGAAGAAACAAACTTCACGAAATACCCGGGAATGGTGGGGTATCCTAATGGTTAAAGTGAAGACCCGGGTTCGATTCCCCACATGGGTACAATGTGCGAAGCCTATTTCTGGTGTCCCCCGCCGTGATATTGATGGAATATTGCTAAAAGCGGCGTAAAACTATATTCACTCACTCATGACAAACCAGTCACACAGGCATCCACACATCCCACGTTCATCACCTGTTAGCAAATGCATTGAAACGTTTGCTTAAAGATACCATAAATACAATACAACTCTGCCCAATCTATTTAAAACGGGTTAACTTGTTTGATTATGTTATCGCAGTGTATTATAATAATTCATATTATAATCATTATTTGATTGTATTATTATAAATAAGGGATTTATAATAAATCGACGTCACTATGTTTCAGACATGGCACTAGACATAGACTTTTCCTACTTAATGGAATTGCGGGAACGGATAAATCCAGGTTTGACTTTTTCATTACTCTGTCTTTGAACGGGCAGAAGGGAATAATGTAAGGCTCGTTTCACAAAAGACCGGGTTCGCTTCCCTCAAATGGTTGCAACTTTTACGTCAATTTCCTTTGTCATTATTGCCAGAAAATTGCTTTTAAAGCGGCTTAAAACATGACTCTCTCACTTTCTCTTCATAGTGAAATCAAAATGTCTCTTCATTAATTCAGCAACAATTTATTGCATCTATGTGACGACAAAAGGTGTGTGAGGAGAGGTGTAATTTATGTACATAATTTGAACAATATGTCAGTTATATCTGTTTGTTGGGAATTTGAAGGGATGGGGATGTTTCAAATGATGCTGACCTCGTCGATTAAAACCCACAAACACAGGATCGGCACTGACAAATCTTGAAACAAAACAGTGCAAACCTGATTCGAACCCATGATGACAGGATTCTGTAAAACAAAGGGAGGTAACGCTGTACAGCTCCTAGAGCTTTGCCCGCTTGGTCACCCATGTTACACATAAGGCGTAAGTTGCAGACATATTACAAGTTGTTCACTGGTCACGAAGGGCTCAGGGAACATAAACAAACATCGAGGGTACATCAGCCAATGGGCCCCGAGGGACCAGTGAACAACGTATTTATCTTACCGAACACCTCAATGTTAATTTTCAATTGTTTGAAGTACGGGTACAAATCGTTTTGTAGCTATCGCTAGATTTTGCTGACAAAGAAAACCGATTTAGAGTTATCTCCCTTCCATCTATTTGCATTCACAAAACATCGGTAATTTCCGTAAATCATACGTGATTCAATGTTATTCGAGATAGAGAATTACTACCACGAAGTACCAAATGAGTTGCCATTGACAGCGGGGTACATTGAAATGTTACCCGCTTGTAAGCTGGGTACATTGAAAATAATAGAAGAGCGCTCAGCCAATCAGAAAACGACACTTATGTGTGAGGTAAGATAAATCGTTATATAAGCCATTATGGAATCGGTGATGATCTGACAGCGTGGTTCTTTGCTCTCTCAAACCAAAACAGTTAGCATTGTAATCAAATTTGAGTAAAACGCCCGAAGTGAGGCACGTCTTCCATGTCTTTGGTAAGCTAGTGGTAAAAAGCGTTCGCTCGTCACACCGAAAACGCGAGTTTGATTTTCCTACATGGGTTCAAAATGTGAAAAACTCTGAATGGGTTGACGATTGATCACAAGACTGATCAAACTTATAGTCAGTCAATCTCTTTCTCTACATTTTGTTTTCATGACCCCATTTGAACATTTTAAATGATGTTTAACTTTTTTCAGCACCATTTGAAACGTTTGAATTTGAGGAATTGCTACACGATTACAAGAAGAAAAAATAAAAGGTACGTGTTCCTGTTTTGATTGATTGCAGGTAAAAGATATATGTATGTTAAATCCAGGTGTACTTTAGATGAAAACAAGAGAGTACAACGACTGAATGGTAATGCTATGTTTTAAAATGTCTGTCTTGTCAACTATAGATCTACAGCAAGCGGGGCTATGGAGAACAAATCCAGAATTAAATTCCTGTGATACCGAACCAGTTGCTGGTGAGTAAGTAGGCCACACGAGATGCCAATACAGTGCCAGTTACAGGGTCATCTGTAACATGTTAAACTTGATATTACACTTTGTCAGTAAAGTACACATTCTATAGTCCGTTTGGCTTCCGCCTGTGTGGACTTATGAATTGCAATCTAACTCGAAAACTAATAAACATAACAAACTCAATGAAACGCTGATCATAATCAAAAAACATCATACCAACTCTGTGAGGTTTTGCAGAATTTTGTCCTAAAAAATAAAAACAGTTGTTTAACAAACTATCATTAAAATATTGGACACAGTTCACTGTTTGTTACGAGGGAGGAGTGCGGAGGGGCAGCCAGGTGTTCGAGAAGCACGTTCTACAGACAAAGTTATTTATTCATTAACCTGTGCTGCGCCGTCTCCATCCGTATGATGTTTTTTGATTATGATCAGCGTTTCACTGGAGTATTTTTATGTTTATTAGTTTTCGAGTTAGATTGCAATTCATAGTCCCCTTTGAGCCAAACGGACTATAGATCCTTTGAGTTTGTGTTTGTGTTCGACCTCCGTTGGGGATGGGGAGGGGCGACAAAATAAGTACTAGAATATGAATCATCACTATTTCATAGTGATTCATAAACACATGCTCTGTCATCATATCGCATGGTGACAATCACTGGATTGTCTGGTCCAGACTTGATTTGTTTACAAACAAGATCGTACAGCTATAATAACAACATCGTACAGCTATAATACTTGCTCACACCAAATATGTTCTCATGATGTTGTCACCAGTTGTACAATCGATTCTGCTTTTAGCAGGGATTTCTTCTGGGTGTACAAACGGTTTTGTCGCTTCTATTTAGCTGAGAACGTTGTATCCAAAGTACAACATATGTTTATGACGAGTTGGTTAAGACAATGCCCAACCTATCTCATTCTCATTGACCCATTGCACGATTCCTTTGTCTTTACCGGTTGCCAAGCAACTTCATTTTAACCTATACTGAGGCTTTCCAGTTAAATGCCATCGAGCAGTTTGTCCAATGCATGTGGATGAGCTGCAGTCGTCCGTTAATTCCCTATGAATGAACAAACTGGTCCTTTTTTCATAAGTATCATTGTATTAGAGCGAAGTAAACCAGATACCGGTACATTGTGTAACAACACAGGTCAAAACACTTGTTTTTTCTGAACATTACAAATCAAAAGTAATTTTCTCATAGTCAGATCTCTCAAATATCCGAATTTTCTGCATGTGAAAGATACAGTGTTGTGTGATCATCATCATTTGTGACGGAGATACAGATTTTATGAGTGAGTGAATGAGTCTAGTTTTAGTCAGCAATATTCCAGCTATATGGCGGCGGTCTGCGAATAATCGAGTCTGACCAGACAATCCAGCGATCACCATCATGAGCATCGATTGGAAACCGATGGCATGTGTCAACCAAGCCAGCGAGCCTGACAACCCGTTCCTGTTAGTCGCCTCTTACGACAAGCATGGGTTACTGAAGACCAATTCTAACCCGGACCTTGACGGGCACAGATTTATGAGTTACATATAGTTGAATATTTGTCATTAGTGTCTGTCAACGAAAAAGTTATATACACTTTTAAAAACATAAAACCACAATGACTAGCTAATGTCTCTTTGGTGTTCCACAAAATTCCCTGAACATATAACGAGTGGTTTTACGGTTTTAAGCAAGAAAAGCAATCACTGTTCCTCTGTGTAAGTGTTCAGAATAAGTACTTCGTTGCTGGTCACAGTGGATTGTTCGGATCCTTTCTGAAAGTGGGGGAATTATTATGTCTCACCAGAGACAATTCTGGTTCCGAACCCTCATCCCTAATAATTTTCTGAAAACATTGTATGTAAGAGCTTTTGATAAATCCTTTGCATATACCAGGTAATTGTGTTTGGTTACTGTAAACCTGTGAGTGGATATTTATTGTAGTCACAAGGAATTGTTTGGATTTTTCGTTGAGGGGGTGTTCCATTATT